CAAACTCTGGAACTCACTCCCACCCGACATCCGAAATATTGACTCTCTTCCTATATTCAAAACTCATCTTAAAACCCACCTATTTAAAATTGCATATACAGTTTAAACTCATCGCTTTTATTATTTATAATTTTATCTGTGGTTTTATTGCTCTTTTGATTGTAAAGTGTCCTTGGGTATTTTGAAAGGCGCTTATAAATAAAATGTATTATTATTATTAAAGGGAATACAATACAATACAGCTTTACTTATATAGCGCTTTCACAACCACTGCAGCTGTAACAAAGCACTTTACACAACAGTTAAAACACTTCGTCCAAGAAAGCAGAATATTGGTCCATAAATAAGGCCCATCAGATTATAAGGCGCACTGTCGGCTTTTGAGAAAATTGAATGTTTTTAGGTGTGCCTTATAGTGCGGAAAATACATAGAAGTACAGACGACACTTACTAAAAAATAAATAATTAAAAAACACCTCTACTTGCAACAGTAGAGGTCAAAATAACCAGCGGATTGGGGAGGTTTGGTCGAGGGAGAAAGAGGTGATATGTAGGAGGGAAAGAACAAGCTGAGGAGAAATGAGGCAGAAAGTGGAAGACGAAGCAAGTGTGATGTTAAAAGGAGGAGACAGGCTTTTCATTCCTCCTACATACCCATCAAAGCTGCACCCCCCTCGCCCCACATACACACACACACATACACACAAATACAGACAGTTTTTTTGAAGCCCATTCTTTGCGATTCGCTCTCACATTATACAACATCACTGCCTCTCTGTTTCCCTCCCCTATCTATCCTCCAAACATCTAATTGTGTCCCTCTCCATCAATCTCCTCATCCTCCCAGCCTTGTGCGCTCCTTCTCGAGCTTTGTGTGCCACGTCGTTGACGCTGTTGTACATTCTGAAAAGTGCAGCCTGAAGCCTGTTTGAGCCACTCAGTGGTAGCTTATTCCTTTATACATGACTGGTTGCTCGACAATCTTCGTTTTTAACTCAGCACTTGAAATAAACTAGTTTTCACCATGTCTATTTTCCAAGTACTTTAAGTAGAATGCACAAATCACTAAAATTCCTAAAAGCTAAGAGATGAATCAAGAAAATTAGTTGACATGTCAGCACAATGATCCCCTGATTAGCAGGCCCGCTTCACAGTGCAGAGGTCATGGGTTCGATCACGGGTCCGGCCTTCCTGTGTGGATTTTGCAGGTTCTCCTCGTGCCAGTGTGGGTTTTCTCCGGGAACTCTGGTTTCCTCCAACATTCCAAAAACATGCACGGTAGGTTAATTCACTGTTTTTCAAACCCTGTGCCGCGGCACACCAGTGTGCCGCAAGATATTGTCAGGTGCGCCGTGGGAAATTAGACAAAATGTATGCCTGTGCGGTCGATCGCCTGTAAGAGTAATCATGTAGTACTCTTCCATACCGGTAGGGAGCAGCTAGGAAATTGCCTTCGCTTGTCTCGGAAACTTCGAGACAAGAGAAGTTTCCGACTCCAGGCAATACAATGAAAGGTATCTTTCATTTAGATTTACGTTTACTGGAGATGCAACGGCACCAATGTTCCCTCTAAGCTGCGCAACTGCGCACTGGTCATACACTCTCAGCACACAAGAAAATCTATCCAGCGCAGTGAACGCACTGCAAATGAATTAGATATAGAACTTTTTTTTCTCTATCAATTTGCTTTGTAATTCAGTGAGTGACAGGTGTCCAGCCAATCACACGATACGATGCAATGACGCTATGCAGCCAATCACGGCATTGACAGTACTTGCGCGTGTTCTCTGCTCCATAACAATAACAGTGCGGCGGCAATAAGTGACACTAAAGCTAACCCCTGATCATGGCGAAACGACCGGGCAGTGAATGTGATCCGTCGACTTCCCAAACCAAAATAAGAATGAACTGCGGTTCTTTTAAGTTGTAATGGCTGTCGGAGTATGTGCAAATAGAAGAACAAGCAGTGAAACTGTGTGAGATATTTTCTTTTTTGAGTGAGAAAGCTCTGTTCTGCAAAACATGCAACAAATCTTAAGCTGTAAGCAAATTTTCCGATGGAAAAATATACATGGACTGAATGGAAGCTGGACTACCTCAAGCAACACATTCAGCAGAAAAGTCACTTGAATGATGTTGGAAATATACAAAGACTCAAGATGGGAAAAGGGATTGGTACACTATTGCGGGAGAGCCCAAACGAACGGGAGAAAAAGAACCAGCTGCCACACAGAAAAAAATCCAACCCTGACCAAGTTAAAGTTGTAATTCACGATATTTTACTTGCCATTAAAACGAATGCACCAAATATTGGATTGATGTTGATTTGATTCCTATTCAATGTGTTATAATACTGCATACATGTTCAATGTTAAAAAAACGCTTATAGTAACAATATAACACTTAATTGTTAAAATAAGCTTTTTTCACATGTTCAGGTTTTCAGGTGTGGGTTTTCTCTGGGTACGTCAGTTTCCTCCCACATTCCAAAAACATGCATAGCAGGTTGATGGAACACTCTAAATTGTCCTGAGGTGTGAGTGAGAGCACGGATGGTTGTTCCGCTGTGTGCCCTGCAATTGGCTGGCAACCAATTCAGGGTGCACCCCGCCTACGGCCCGAAGACGGCTGGGATAGGATCCGGCACACCTGCGACCCTTGTGAGGAAAAGCGGATTAGAAAATGGGTGGTTGGATGGATAGATGTTTTTAAATTCACAAATGGCTGGACACAGTGCTCAGATTTTAAGACTGGTCACGCTTTCGTGAATAGTGTATATCTCTAGTAACCATCAAAGACACTTTATTTTTTTTCCTAACATACAGTCAAAAGAAAAACTATGCCGACAACAGAACAAATTTCAACAATATAAATATTTCAAAAGAAAACACGTAATGCTAGCCGGAAAAGTATTATCAAAGAATTCAAGACTTTTTACATCCTACACTAAGCATCGCACCTATTTAATTAATCTTCAAACCTGAATTCACCCACACTCACCCATTTTTAATATGATTATATTTATATTATATTTTATAATTTATATACTTTTTGTTCACACACACATATACAGTATCTCTCTCTCTCTCTCTCTCTCTCTCTCTCTCTCTCTCTCTCTCTCTCTCTCTCTCTCTCTCTCTATATATATATATATATATAGGGTGTCCATAAAAAATGTATACACATTTTAGCAGCTGATATCTCAATTATTTGTTCTTTCTTTATAGACTGAAGCCATTGAACCGAGTGATGGCAGCCAGACTTGACTTTGTAGAAACGTATTCTAAAATGCTACCGGAAGTATGAAAACGCAGTAGAAGTGCAAATACAGTTTCGGAGGGAGTTTAACACAGAGCCACCAACACGAGTTACCATCACTCGAAGAGATACGTTTGAAGGTGATGGAACTGTTCAGGACGTCCATAAGAAGCATTCCAGAAGACCACGTACAACAAGCCCCACAAAAGAAGATTACTGGAAACGTTTCAATGAGGTCCAAGAAAGTCTTTGCGGCAAGTTAGTCGTGAGGTAGCCATGATGTGTGCCATTCCATCGCTTCGCGTAGTTAGCAGTGTTTGGAGCTGATATATATATATATATACTTTTGTTCTTCTACTTCTCTCTTTTTTTGCTGCTGTAAATTGGGAGTTTCTCCATTGTGAGACAAATAAAGGTTTTCTTATCTTAATCAAAAGCTGCAGCCCAAAATACAGTATACATACAGACAGCCATACATACAAACATACTCAAAATAATGAAATTGCTGGGGCGGAAGCATGCTGATTGGGGGCTAAACAGATTCCTGACAGTGCTATATTTAATTTTAGAGCCGCAGTGCAGCGCTGTGCAACTGACAACAGTGAGACTATTTTCTGACTTGTACAATTATTTACTGCAGATGATGTATTGAGAAATTCATACCATATTGCATTCCTTAATATTCAAAATCGGCACTAATCATGTCTGCAATGTACGCTAGAATCATTTAAAATGGCAAGTGCGGTGAAATTTCAGATTGCATTTGCAATTATCGATTAACAATTACCATTGCTTAGTGAAGAATGAATAAATGTGCCATATAGTGTGGAGAAAATGAAAAATTCATGATGAGTGTTAAAACATCAGCATATTTTTGCAGCATTTTTGCATTTTTTTAGGGAGCTAAAACAGGAGTAAAATATTATTGAAACACTGCTCATAGTGACGGACCAGAAGAGAAAGACTGACACTGCAGCTCTTGTCATCTTGAATGAAATTTATTTTGAGTTTCAGCCGATTGTTTGCTGTCCATTTGCAATGGCCTTTCTTTTGTCCCCCCCCCCCCACACACACACACACATTTTTTTGAATCCCCAACAGGCAGAGGTCCAAAGAAAACCAAACTAGTACATTAAATTGCAGTGAAGGTATAGCCCTGACTTTGTGGCTCTTGTCAGACTTTTAAATTAATGTCGATACCAAATTCTGACTTGACTTTTTAAAAAAACACCCATTGTGACTTGAAAACAAATTCCATTTGGACATATACACTTCAATCAGTTGAACGTGGGGATCGTCTCTGTGGTGGAAAGATTTCGGAACCTATCCAGCAAACTTTAGTAGCTGTCTCTATTAAATGAGGAGATCGAGGAGCGTTGGCGCATATGCCCAAAATATTTCAACCTCCTCCTGGCTCACAACTCTGGTGATATGAGATGATAAAATGAGCCGCTATACGCAGGCCCAGTTTTTCTTCCATAAACAGCGCACCACGTCATGCTACGTCATGCTATGTGCCCATGCTTGTCACGTTATGGAAGCTTTGAATTGACAATAGAAATCGCATTTGTTTTTGCAATCCGAACAAATCCATAAAATGATTGGATTCAAGAAAATAAAAAACGAATTGGACATCACGCCCTGCAGTGTGAATATATTATTAAAGGTCAAATACACAAGTCAAATTTCATCGACGTGTGCAAACATAATATTTTTCTTGTTTCACATATTAAAACCAAAAGTAAAACCAATTTTTTTTTTTTTCACATTTTTATGAAAATGGGCTGAAAATAAGGCATCAGTATTTTGTCCATCTATCAGGGGCAGAGTAACCAAGAATTGTGCTCAGGTGAGTGTAGTGATACTTTATTAGTGTCATGATCCTGTTTTGTCTTGTATTTTGTTTCAGTCTCCAGCTGCAGAATTGATGTTCAATGACGAGTCGCACCTAAATCTGGCCTCGTTACCTCTCTGCTTTAAATGCCATGCCACGCTGGCTGTCAGAATATTAAGCCTTGCTCACGACTCTGTCCTCAAGTGCGTCAATTCTCGAGACATTCTCTGCATTTTCTTTTCCTCATAGCCTTTGCCTCGTAATTCAAAGTATTTTTGTTCTGTAAGTATTCTTGTTATGTATTCTCGGTTTACGTTCTTTGTGTATTGGATTCGCTTGTCTTGT